TCAACGGATCTCTATTACGATTAGATTGACGGATCTCTAATACGAAAAGATCGACGGATCTCTAATGCAATGAGATCAACGGATCTCTAATACAAAGAGATCAACGGATCTCTAATACGATGAGGTCAACGGATCTCTAATGCGATGAGATCAACGGATCTCTAATGCGATGAGATCAATGGATCTCTAATACGATGAAATCAACGGATCTCTAATACGAAGAGATCGACGGATCTCTAATACGATGAGATCAACGGATCCCTAATACGAAGAGATCGACGGATCTTTAATACAATGAGATCAACGGATCTTTAATACGATGAGATCAACGGATCTCTAATACGATGAGATCAACGGATCTCTAATACGATGAGAGCAACGATTTCTAACACGATGAGATCAACGGATCTCTAAGTTTATTACGATGAGTTCAACGGATCTCTAATGAGAATGAATAAGATCCACTTCTTATTTGTGGAAGGGCGAAATAGGCGGTGACTATTAGACGCCTTCAATTTAGCCATCTTTCTCTATCGCACGGATTTCTATGACTTACTTTATCGCTCTCACGTAACGTCCGATGAACCATGGGAACTTTCCAACCCTGTATATGGATTTTTATAAGTTATGAGGCATATTTTTTGCCCATGAAAAATAACGGCCCTCAACAATTTTTTAAATATACACGAATGAGTGTGGCAGTTTTTAATAAATTATTAACAATGGTTAGGTACTCCACAGTTACAAAAATTAAGAAAAATGCAAGATAGTATTTGCCGAGAAGAACGATTGGTTTTAACATTATAGTAAATTAAAGAGATTTTAATTTTATAAATGAAATATGGCCGAGTATGTATCCCATTTTATCATAATAACAGTTATGTTATTTCATGTTGTTAACGTTACCTGTTAAGATATAACATGCATGTTATTGAGGTATTTAGCAAATACTCGTATTGCAATTTTGTTGTTTTTTGAAGACGCTTTTGTGTCGACATTTTTAATAATAATTATGCAAAATTATTATAAACAAGAGTCAGTATTAGACAAAAACACATATAACTGACAGATGTCTTTTAGATTATGAAACATGAAACAAATGCAAACTCACAAATAACGGATAAGTACAACATAAAATAGTTTGTAACATGTTATCTTAAATTATAAGTGAGTTTCTTAAAGGCAAGGAATTTGGTGTTGCTATAGTTTAACATAGGTGTCATTTGTCTAATGAAAATGAACGGCTTGATAAATTTCCATTTACTTGCCGGTTTTATCGAAGGTAAGTTGTAAAATTTAAGTAACTTAGGTAGTATATACGTACATGTATATATTATACAGCGTGGTAAAAAAGTTCTGCTTAAAAATAATATTTTTGTTAAACAATTTTTTTTCGAAAAACGGTGAGACCCGTCGATTTTTATTTGATTAAGGCACCTTGTTATGTGGAAATTTTTTTTTTTTCGATAATCCACTTGCGGCAGCGATGACATAATTTTTTTTTAAATGACAACGCATATTTTTTTCGTTCGAAATTGATGACAGTGATAATTATCTAAACAACGGTGTGAAAATTTCGATGTCTTCCATAACATTTTTTTTTAGAAAAATGCACCTTATGTTCTTATAAGTGATAATTGTCTACTTACACTATTAATGGCTCCGAAAAGGACAAAGTTGACAAAATTACATTTCAAACGAGTAAAATTACACTAATGTTTGTGAAAGTCTAGCGAAATTGTTCGAATTGCCCACCCTGTACCATTTGGCATTGTCCTAAGCGTGTGTAAACGCCGTCTACACTTCGTTCAAGCATTCCCGGGTCGATTTGATTTATTTCAAAACGAATACGGTTTNTCGAAATTTTCACACCGTTGTTTAGATAATTATCACTGTCATCAATTTCGAACGAAAAAAATATGCGTTGTCATTTAAAAAAAAAATTATGTCATCGCTGCCGTAAGTGGATTTTCGAAAAAAAAAAATTCCACTTAACAAGGTGGAATGAAAAAAATTTAAATTGCTTCTTATAAAAAAAAAACAAATTTTCCACATTAGATTCCGTGTTTGGAGGCTGCTACCCTTATTTTTTATTTCAGAAAAACTATATTTTTTATATATAAAAAAATTTATGTTAAAAAAAATAAAAAATATGATTTATGTAAAGAAATTGACAAAATAAAGTTCTCTTTTTAGGGGGGTGAACAACCCTCTAGTGTGCTAAAAATGTCTGTACGATTAGAATTAACATTGCAAAATAAAAAGTTTTTACTTTTTCTCTAATCATACGAATAATTTGTTCTATTAGCCGCAAACAGATTTAAACGGTTGCAAACTACCTCTCATGGTCACCCCTAAAATATTTCTGTGACATCTCAATATTTTGAAATGAAATAAAATGGAAATTACTTCTTTAAAAAAAATAAAATGTTTCACAAGGATTTCGTGTTTGGGGGTTGCAACCCTTATTTTTTATTTCAGGAAAACAAAGTATATTTTCAAACATTTTTTATATATAAAAAATTCATATTGATTCAAAATATTAAACATAAATATGATTTATGTAAACAAATTGACAAAAATAATTTCTCATTTTAGGGGGCGAACAACCCCCTAGTAATCCCCTAGTGTGCGAAAAATGTCTTAACTTTTTCTCTAAATCATAAGAATAATTTTTTCTCTTGGTCTGAAACGGATTTAAACAGATGCAAACTACCCCTGATGTTCACCCCCAAAAACAGTATATCCGTGATATCTCGGATTCTAATAAATATTTTGGAATGAAACAAAATGGAAATTACTGAACCCGTTTATTGGGGGATGAACAGCTGGGGTTGTTGATGAACAGCAGGGGTAGTTTGCATCAATTTAAATCCGTTTCAGACCAATAGAAAAAATTATTCGTATGATTAGAGAAAAAGTAAAAACTTTATTTTAAAATGTTAATTCTAGTCAGCACAGAAATTTTTCGCACACTAGGGGGTTGTTCACCCCTTAAAAAGAGAACTTAGTTTTGTCAATTTATTTACATAAATCATATTTTTAATTTTTTTAACAAATATGAATTTTTTATATACCTATTAAAATTGTTTGAAAAATATAGTCTGAAATAAAAAATAAGGGTAGCAACCCCCAAACACGAAAATACTAATGAAACATCTGTTTCTTTATAAGAAGTAATTTTGCATTTTGATTCGTTCCAAAATATTGAAGAGAACCCCAGGTATTTAGAAAAATCTGTTTTGAGGGACGAACTTTGAAGATGTATTTCACCCCTAAACATGTTTTTCCGCCGATAAAAAATACACGTCTTTTAATTTTTTTTTGTTTTGTGTGGTTTTTCCCCAAATTCATGCTCAATAAATTAACTTTAGTAGCAAACTGTTGTCATAAAGCATTAAAAGTTTTAATTGTGATGGTTTCGTTCTGCCGGTACGTAGTCTGTTGTTATGAAACATGAAACAAATACCTACAACGTAGAGCGCAAACTCGTAAATAACGGGTACGTACAACATAAAATAGCAGCCGTGTTCTGTTTTATTTCGTTACAATTAAATAACATGTCTGTTTGACGGATACTTATAAGATATATGTTATTACGGTATGTTATTTACAAACGTTATTTCTAACATAACATTTGAACGTAAATGGGATACATACTCGGCCTGATATTATTGTATTAAATCAATAAGTACAGCCTCAACCATTTCAATTTCATTTTGAATATATTAACGACAAAAATCATATGTTAGCTTAATCTCATAAAACAAATCACTGAACACAAAACAGAATTTCTGGTAGCACGTTACTGATCTACAATCCAGTTCTGTGACAAAATTACGTCCGAATTTATTCGACCATGCGTGATTTTAACCGATTCCGTAGGGATAAATATAAGTAAGAAATAAAAATGAACCGTTTCTTTACGGCATATGTTACGGTATCTAATGAATGGTCATATGTATTTCCTTGTACTTTATTTCTAATACGTCTTATGTTTATAGCATACGGCTTAAGTTTTGTGCACTATGAATCCAGCGTCCGTTGCTGTTGGAAGGGGAATACGCCAGATCATCTCGGTAACACTTTCGCAGGCAAGTAAGCGACGAACCGCCCAGTACTGCAGGCAAAAGTGGAGAACACACGGTTAACTTTGATCGGCTATAACTACGTAGGTAACTAATTGACCAATCGATCTGTTTTTTTTAAAGAAGCGTCTTTCCAATAACTTTTAAAACCTGCTTTAAAATATTTGATTTGATTGAATATTCACAAAGTTATTCTAATTGTTTATAAGTACAAAAATTCGACCAATGTTTAAACAAGCGCCAGAGCTCTCCTAAATGACGGATTCGAATTTTTCAAAAAAAGTTTGAAAGCTTGATAGCCCTTCTATATGTGATTAAATTTTCAAGTATGTAAGGCCTTGGTTTTTGCTGTGCAAAATTTTGAAAATTTGCAGATATTTTTTCAAAATCTGGATTGCAAAATTATGCAAAATCTATCGAACTGATTTTAATGAAATTTGGTGTGATGAATCTGCATAACATGAAGTTTTCTTGAGCCAGGTATAAAGGCCCTATACCCAATATAAATATCCCAAAAAAATTGCCTAAAAAGTATTGTTTTTTAACCCCATTTTGCGATTTTTTCGTTTTTTTGCCATAATAATCATGATTTATTCGATTTATAACTAATCATGTTTTGCAAAAAATTTAATTGCAAACATTTTTTTCCTCTTCCATTTTCGCCTAAAATCAACTCTTGAAAAGATACATAATTAACTAGGATTAAAAATATGACATTTTTCGAATTTTTTTAACATATTGTGCCGCCAAAAGTTAAGCCCACGTTTTTTTTATCAGCCAAAAATCTCCGTAGATATACGATTCACCCAAATATGGCTTTTTGAAACAGATATCGTCTCGACTACTACTCATTTGGATTATTATAGCAACAAATAAAACTACCAAAAAAGTCTTGGTATCATATTTTCTTACCTGCAAATATGCATCATAGCATCTTCAAAAAGAACCAAATTCATTGCAGCCACCAAGTCGTTGTAACTCGACATTGCTTCATTGAGCAGCCTGTTCAAAGTTGACCACCTTTTAACAGGCATGTATTTAGGTTCTCCTATACCACCTGCAAAGTGGCAGTATATGTTCGGCTTTTCAAATATTATTAATTCATCTGTTTCCTGAAATATGTTCAATGTAAATTGTTACGGGGTTATTTTCATAATCTAAGTTTAACATATTCAGAACACAGTTCTGATTAAAATTGTCAGTAATTTGAGAGAAGTAAAATTGTACAGTCAAAGAATCCAGTAATTTGAGAGAAGTTAAGCAAAATTTTACAGTCAAAGAATCGTTTAATTTAAGATACAAGTGTAAAATATTATTCTCTATTACCTGGACAATTTGGTTAAAACTCGAGCGAAGAGTTTTAAAAACTGCGTGAGTAATATGGAATACCTTTTACATGTTGTGCGTCTTAGAAGGTTTTATTTATCATCGATCGCGCAACTAAAAAGAATTTATCAATTTCTCATGAATAACTGTACTTATATGAACTATATTCATTTTATGCAAATGCCATTTTGACTGACTGCTAGTATTATTTTCAAGTGTTATGGCTGAACTGATACATTAAAAACATTAAGCTATCTTAAGGAAATGATATTGTAACTAAACTGCTGTAATTGAAGTCTTAAAAGTATCAATGAAAAAATCAAGTTAAAAATGTTTGATAGTGATTGATGAGTTTCAAATGTCAATTTTTTGCACCGGAAATTATGTAAAAATGTTACACGATCGTAGATATAGATGATTTTCTAGAGGGTGAAATAAAATCTATGTTTCCGAGATCTGTTGTATTTACCTCAAAATTCTTTTTGAATACATCAGACTGCAATTTGGTGAAGGCATCAATATCCTTTTCTTCAATCAGTTTATCACCATAAACTCGTTGGCATTCGTGTAACCAAAGGCGAATTAAATCAGATGGTTGGTTGAGACAATCGTTTGAACTAAATAGTAAACCCTGAATTTGAAAACAAATTCTGCAGGTAAATGTGTCCTCAGTGATAGTAAATTTGAATTATCTTTTTTATTATTGATTTTTCGAGAAAAAGTTATTCTTGATAAAAAGTTTTGCTGATCTTGGTAAACCGTGGGCAAAAATCAAATATATAATAAAACATACAGGGCGTCCAAAAAATGTCAAAATGTGAAATTTTCCCAAAGAAGCGCCTATAATTTTTGTTCTCTTTAAAAACTGTATTTAACAAGGTTGTTCGAGAACTCAAGAAATGCTTAAATACGGGGTTTAGTTAAAAAAGAAGAATAATCACATTTTGCAAATGAAAACACGCGATTTTGAACTATATTACTTAAAGCTGACAGAAATTGTAAAAAAATAAAACTTTATTTTAAATTTAATATAATATAAAAAATAACTTGGTTGAACAATTTCCGGGTTGATTGCCACGTCGTCGCACAGTGGGAAATATTGGAAAAAATTCTCGCCACTCGCCAATTTTCATCGTCTCCAAATATATCATCAAGGGTAATAATAATCAATTTTATTAATAGCAGATACTTTTTAAACATTTTTTTCTACAACTGAACATCGAGTATTTAAAAATTTTTTCTTCGACATTGAGGTTGGGGCGCTCCCTAAGCATTTAAAAAAAGGGTTTTTCGAAAAAACCTCAGCGGAATATGAATTCAGATTACCACGAGATTATTAAAAAAAAAAACACGACGAGACGATGAAAATTGGCGAGTGGCGAGAATTTTTTCCAATATTTCCCACAGTGCGTCGGTTTAAGTTTCTTGACGTTTCGAGAGACATATCGCTCTCTTCCTCAGAAGTAACTCTGAAAGTTTTCGAATTTTTGAAAAGAGCGATATGTCTCTTGAAACGACAATAAATCTAAATCGATGACATGGCTGCCAGCCTGAAATTGTTCTACCGTTAACAAATGCCACGGTAGCCTGCAAACTAAAATATAATACTAATTAAAAAATAAAAATAACAAATTAGAACTGGAATTAGCAACAATAACGAAGCAAGTCCTATTCAACTTGTAAAGCTCCAAGTAATACACATTTTTATAATCTTTTTCTAAATCCTACACGGACGAGATCATTTCTTCGTTTATGGCGGCAACAGCTTCCTGAATTTTTTTGCTTAAGTAATTCAATGTTATCGCCAAAATCGTTTGAAAACACTTTTTGCTTTAGGTATCCCCATAAGAAATAATGGAATGCATGCCAAGGTATTGGTCCATAGCGTTCGATCCACTTGTTTTGAAAGCGAATGTCATGCCTGTTTCTCACTAGAAGTGTGGAATGTGTAGGGTATCCGTCTTGTAATATTAGTTCTCTTCTGAACTCTAAAATATTCGCTATCTAGTTCTGCCAAAACAAAATTATTGAGAATTTCCAAATACTAATTTCGAATAATATTTTCTTCCAAAAAGTAAGAACCAGTTATTTTATGATACATTATGCCACACCAGACATTTACTTCTTTAAATTTAGACTATTAATTATCAATCAAAATTTGAATTATCTTTAGCTCAGTATTTATAATTTTGAGAGGAAACCACGTCGTTAGTTGTAAATGTTGATTCGTCAGTAAATAAAATATTGTGAAGACAATCTGTTTTCAATCAGTTTCTCGCCCATTGTCAAATAAAAGTCCAAACGACAATCATCATCTCCATCAAATAATTTATGATTAAACACTGGTTTGAATGGATAGATTTTGTTGTATACTAAAATTCTTTGAATATGAGATCTGCTAATATCTATGTTTTCTGACTTTTTCCTGAGTGATATCTTTGTATTATCTTGTACAGAGTCCATAAGTACAGCAGTAGCAACATCGTTATCATTGTATTAGTTTTTCGTGTTTTTAACATTCTTTACATCACAAGTTCTATCGCATTTTATAATTATTAGCTTGCGAACTACTCTACAAGTTATAGTTAGATTTGGAAACTTTTCATTAAAAATATGTATTGCATATTAATATGAAATACTACCGATTCCATAACATTTCTCAAGATAAATTCGTTGCACCATTATTAATAAAAATTATTCGGTGGGCAGTTAATAAAAATAAATATGTTGCCTTTGACACTGATAAGGAAATGTCCATGATAATTAATGGTATGTAGATAGTTAAAAATTGCGACGTCTTTTTAATTGCAAAATGTGATTATTCTTGTTATCTGACTGTGACCCGCATTTCTATTACATATTTGATTACTGGCCATGACTTTCCACTATAAGCAAAACTTTTTGTCAAGAATAACTTCTCGAAAAATCAAAAATAAAAAAGTTTACAAGAGTCCGGTATTCCATAGGTCTTTGAGAATCAATGAAATATACAAGATTACGCACTTGTGCTTGTTTTTCAAACTTATAATAACTTCATTATTTCCAATGGAATAGCAGAATACAGTCTATATTTGAAAATATAGATTGTGTTTCGTTTCGTCTATGAATTTACCTGGAATACGTTGGATATATCTCGTAAATTGAAAATATAATGAAACTTTACAGCAGTGGGTAAAAATATTTGCATTACTTTGTGATGTAACGCTATTGAAGCGTTAACAATGTTCACACTCAGTTTGGTAACCACTGAGGGAAACTTATATTCACTATTGTTCAGGTGCTGGGTTAAAATCGAGTGGTAAATTGTCATTAGAGAATCTATTCCAGGAAAACTTATTGCAAATACGCAAAAATGCCTTTGAAGTCGAGGATTTATCGTAAAGCTTCCAGCCGTAGGATTCATACAGGAGACATACTGACAGTTATGGACGTCTTTCAAAGTAAGCTTGCCTCGGTCGTACCTAGGAGGAAAAAGCTGCATATACATATCGCAAGATTAAAAGCAATTTTTCACAAACCGATCGAAATATAAAAGAAACAAAAGTTGGTCTACTTTTGTCGCAAGACATTGTAGTTTAAATGCAATGCTTAGCTGTACCGTTAACTTTTTTTGTTCTATATTTTATATTTCGAACTTTTTCGAAAATCGTGACGGTGCAATGTTTTTGAATTGGCCAATATATTAAGTGCATTGCATAGAAATTATCTACATCGCACATGTTAAAGAGATATACAGGGTGTCTTGTAAGTATATTATGGTCAAGAGTGTATATGAAAGTTCAAAATAACCCTCGTTTTGTCATAGAAAATAATTCCTAAAGTGCCCTTTAATGGAGATACAGAGCCCCAAAGGGGTACCCAGCGATTTACCTTTTCCGCTCTAACTTTTGAACCCACTGTAATGAACCAGTTTTAGTTTCCAGTTTTATGCAAGGCTTTTGCCATTTGTTTTCCTTAATTGGTTAAGAGTAATTATCCGCGCGTCGATTAAAACCGTCCGTTTGCACTACTCTGACGGGTGCCGCACGCACGATCCCACCACGACTCCTGTTAGTCAAGAGGGGATCCAGACAATAAAACCATGTTTCCTGGCCAAAAATCTTGAGTTCGTTGCCAGAACTCGAAGAGTTCCAGAACCACTCCGAGGACCCCACCGAAGACCCGCCACCGCCATCCGAACACAAGGAGTTAGCAGCCGGGAGCAATCATCCGGAATAAGTAAGCAAATTGTATTTTCCTATGTTCACTTGTCCTGCTATGGTATTAGTCTGACCGAATTTGAATTCTGGACAGTACGACCACAGCGTTGTCGGCCACGGTTTGGCTGGGTAGCCCAACGCCCTCGTTCGACGAACGGTGTCAGTCACATTAACCGAACTGCTGGTTTGGCTAGGTAAACCGAGGGTAAGATTCATGTGGAGTTTCGCCCACGTAAAAGAAAGGGAAACTGGCGCCCGAGACACCGAACAAAAATAATATAAACCGGAGTACGTTCCTGCGATGTCATTCACCGCCGCCGGCTGCCGAACACCGCTGCCGATAAAATAGTAGTCAAGGGTCGTCACAAAATTAGGCGCCCAAAAAGTTACGTCAGTGATGCATATAAATAGTGTAAATTATAAATCAAATTTCAAACATTCCGTTTAGAGTTGGTAGTCCACCGGGGCGTGTGTAACTGTCCCGACCGAGTATTTGATAAATGCAGACGAACTAAATCGCTAAAATGTTCTAATAAATCGTTTAAACTTTGTTGCAAGATTTTCAAATACATGGCACCATTTAACCCGCCTTCAAAAAAAAAACGGTCCAGTAAGATGGTTCCCAATAATCCCTGCCCATATGTTAACCATGAACCTTTGTTGGTGTTTTGTCTCTACTATTGCATGGGGGATTTTCTTCTTACCAGATATGCAAATTATGGCAATTTATTACTCCGTGGCAGGTGAAACCGGCTTCGTCGGTGAACAAAACAATACTTGTAAAATTTGGATTTTGCCTAAATCGTTGCAAAAACCAATTTGCGTAATTGACTCTTCCAGGATAACCAGAGGGAGACAAGGCATGTACCTTTTGGACGTGATAAGTATGTAGCAGTTGTTCTCGAATCTCATCCAGAATTTCCTCCACTAACTGAGAATTCCTTGCTCTTCTTGGAGGCCCTTCTCCACCACAATGCGACAAAAAACTTCCTAAAATGGATTAGCAAAAGATTAGCTACTTTTAGTATTTTTTTATTTCACATGACTTTTTACATCTACAATCAACCCTTCAGAATAAATTCATCCTGCCTCAACACAATTGCCGAGTACTTGTCAATAAATTAGATGCATGTCGGCATATTCGCTATAGGAATAATGCTCCATTATTTAGTCTTATACAGGGTGTTTCTAAAATAGGGTTCCAAACTTCTGCTGCGTTTATAACTCATTAAAATAAGGCAACAAGTTCCTATTAACATGTGCCCTAAAACTCACCCTTAGGAAGTTATATGCCCTTTAAATGGCTCAAACAAAATTGTTTTTTTTTATACTTAAATTTTCCACTCACCACTTTGACTTACAAAGCTCAATTGACGGTTTATCAATAACTTAAATTGTTAAGCGTTGTGGCAAAGTCAGTCTTTTATTTGCCATGGTAAACAGATTTTTGTAATTTTTGGCCTAATAACTTAAAGAGCAGAGTAATTTTCAAACTCAATTTACTCGAAAACCATTGGAAATGTCGATTTGGACAAAGATAATATTTTTTACGTAAAATTGTTAAGATTTTATTGAAATAAAAAAAATTACGGGCCGAAAACCCCCTTCACCAACCTAAATGGGACGCATATGATTTGCATGTCGAAAAACGGAGTATCCCATGTTATTTAACGTAAAAAGTTATGTAAGACCCATACATTTTTTTCTATTTATTTGCGATCGTTTAGTCAATAACAGAAAAAAACTAGTTTTGTTTCAGCCCTTTTAAGGGCATATAACTTCCTAAGGGTGCGTTTTAGGACACATTTTAATAGGAACTTTTTGGCTTATTTTAATGAGTTATAAACGCAGCAGAAGTTTGGAACCCTATTTTAGAAACACCCTGTATATTCAATCAGTCAGACAATGTTGTCAATACCACATTATTAAGGACATAAAAACGACTGGTGTTTTATTGCAGTATTCCGATTTATTATTTCAATGACGTGTTATAAAAAAACTCATTTTTTTTCGAAAACGGTTAATTTTATGGAAATAAAAGTAGAGTACCTTTTTTAAGAGGAATCACCAAAGTATTTAAAAATTCAGTTTCCAGCTCTATAAAATGACACCTGTCAAAATTTTGGCCCAACGAGTGTGGTGGCAAGTCAGTTCCTGACTTCCTGATAGTGTAAAACATCTACTGTAGTACGGTTTTATGAGTCTTTATAGCCTACATAAAATATTAAAATTTCATTAAATTACACACGTCGCGTCTGTTCAAAAGTTAGAGCGGAAAAGGTAAAGCGGTACTCCTTTGGAGTTCCGTATCTCCTTTAAGGGACACTTTAGGATTTTTTTAAATGACAAACTAGGGTTATTTCGATCTTCCCTAAATACTGTCAAGAGAATGCCATATACTTAGCACACGCCCTGTATTTATTCGGAAAACATAATAGTATAACATTTTACGGTTATACTACATCTACGACCATGTTTTATTTTGTAATTATAGATTAGACTTTCATACAGGGTCATGGATTTGTTCACTATTAAATATTTAATAAAAATAAAACTTGATTTAAAAAATAATTTATTAAATAAAAGCAATAAACGGGAATTTGTTTTTTAAAATTAATGTCATCTAAATGACCACCATCTCGATTTCGACATTCTTCTAAACGAGCACAGAAATTTTTGAAGACTAGTCGACAAAGAGACCGTAATATTGCAGTCACCTATGATTGCTTGTACACATGATGCCTCAATCTAAAAAATAATGTACTGGCGTCAAATCGGGATTCCTGGATGGCCACCGGATGTCCCCTCTCAGTTTTTCCGGCAACATTTCTTTTAAGTCGGCTGCAAATTCATGATGCGAACATCCATGAAGCACCGCGAATGCGAGTGTGGATGGTTTTCACGTTTGGATGAGGTTCTAGTCCGTGACGTTCAAGGTTATAAGCGGCGCGGCGTGAGTCTAGAGCCGGCTATACTACCGGTAGAGGCTCGTTAGAGATGTGACAAGTGACTCTGTCTTGCTGCAATCACGTATTCCGATTGTACCCAGCAACGGATAAGGATGGATAAGGCTAATGACCAATATAGGGAGGAGCAGGCTAGGTCCCAACAAACGTCCATAGTATGTAGAAAACATGTGTCTTCCGAAACCGAAAAAAGATCAGAGCTATGTTTATACCTGGCAAGAGAGAGCTCAGAGTCCCGGTAATTAAGATGGAGGAGGTTAAGATCAAGATGGAGGACTGTATTGATTATTTGGGATTGTGTATCGACAAAAGCTTGAGGTTTTTTGACCACGCTAAGGCCATCAGAGATAAGATTGAAGTTACAGCGTTAAGGATCTTCGGTAAATTGAAAAGAATTAATAAGGCTGTTATTAAAGCTTTTATTGCAGGCATTTTTAAACCTATCGAATTGTAAGGTGCTGAGATATGGGGAGCTAACGCGGATAAGGTCATGTGTAGGAAACAGTTGGACGCAGGAATCAGACCACTATTGTTAAGCCTGACTGGGGTCTATAGAACAACATCTGCGGCGGCTTTGGAAGCGTTATCAGGGGTGTCACCCATCTGGATCGACGCCAAGGCATTAGCGGAAACTTGGAGTGAAAGAGGGAGAGGGTCAAGACTATAGACCAGGGATGCACATACCGCAGCCCGCGGGCCGCATGCGGCCCGCTGTCGATGTTTATGCGACCCGCCAACGAATTTTAAAAGTATTCTACTCGCCGCGCTCCGGTCCAAGCATATTATTACGAGACTAGAAATCTGTCGCATCAACTAGATTACAGATTCGCGAAACACGTCGATCCCCGAACAAAGTGGATGGTTCTCGATGTTTGGTAACTCGTATAAATACGACGCATCGCCGGCTACCGGGGCAGTTAAGTTTTGACTACGGATAAGCGAACGTTATACTGTTTGAGAACTGTAATCTGTGACGAGTAAATATTTCGTCGTTCGAACTTGGCTTTTACCGACTGTAACATATAATATTAATTTTGATATGGATAAACCAGGCCCCAGTAAGAAACGTAGTCGTAAGGTTGAAGATGAAAATCGACAGTTTCATGATATTTGGACCGAAAAATACTTTTTTATTTCATCGCATAACAAAATTGTCTGTTTAATATGCAAGAGTAGTGTTTCTATTCCGAAGGAATATAATGTGAAAAGGCACTATGAAACCCAGCATCCAACTTTTACCAAATTAACTGGCGAAAATCGAACGCAAAGAATTTCCACTTTACAACGGGAACTAATAGGCCAGCAATCTATGTTTACAAAACCAATTCAAGATGCTGAAACAGCCACTGAAGTTAGCTTTGAAATATCTCGAATAATAGCGAAAACTTGTCGGCCTTTTAAAGATGGTGAGTTTGTTAAGCAATGTTTGGATATCGCCGCAAAAAAAATTTGTCCGGAAAATGTAAAGAAGTTTGAAAAAATTCAGTTAAATCGGATGACTGTTCAAAGAAGAATTACCGCATTAGCAGATAATATAGAAGAGCAATTAGCTACGAAATCGAGAAGTTTTGAGTATTTTTCTATAGCGCTCGACGAATCTACAGATATAAGTTCAACTGCTCAACTATTAATATTTTTACGAGGTGTAACGCAAAATTTTGAAGTGAGTGAAGAACTGATTGGTATGAGTTCTTTGACAAGTCAAACCAGGGGAAGTGACATGCTCAAAGCTCTTCTAGAAAAATGTTCTATAATGGATTTGGATTTAACGAAAATATCTGGAATTACAACTGACGGAGCACCTTCAATGGTTGGAAGTACATCTGGGATAGTAACTCTGTTAAAAACATATTTACAAACTAAAAACATAAATACCAAGGAATTAATGCAGTTTCATTGTATTATACATCAAGAGGCCCTCTGTTCAAAATTATTGGGATTTGAAAATGTTATGAAAGTTGTAGTACCTACCGTAAACTTTATAAAATCACGAGGTCTCAATCACCGACAATTCAAACAATTTCTCGAGGATATTGAAAGCGAATATGGTGATCTCCTGTTTTACACTGAAGTAAGGTGGCTAAGTCGTGGGTTGACACTACAGCGATTTCTTAACTTGATTGAAGAAATCCAACTATTTCTGGCGGAAAAGAAAAACGACGTCCCCGAACTCGACAACCCTGATTGGCTGTGTGACTTAGCGTTTCTTGTAGACATCACAAATCACTTGAATGTCTTAAATACGCGACTCCAAGGCAAAGATCAATTGATTTCGCAGCTATACTCTCATGTTTCGTCCTTTCAATGCAAATTGAGTCTTTTCAGGACACAAATCAATTCAGCCAATTACGGCCATTTTCCGAACTACAAAAAAATTATGGAGAAGTTCAATAAAACTGACGTCAATTTCGCTCATGTTGAAAAAATTGATATTTTGATACAAGCTTTTGAAAATCGTTTTGTAGACTTCAAAAAAGTTAAACCGCTATTGGACATTTTCAGCAATCCTTTCAACATTTCACCCGAAAATGCGCCGGAATTAATGCAGCTGGAATTAATAGACATGCAAAATGATGATAATTTAAGAAACAAATTTAATGAAGGTAATTTACTCAACTTCTACCGTTGCGTTGATAAAAACGCTTATAAAGAGTTGCGAATAAATGCATTGAAATGCGCAAGCTTATTTGGATCGACGTATATTTGTGAACAAACGTTTTCAGTGATGAAACTTAACAAAACGAAAAACCGAAACCGTCTGGCAAATGAAAATTTGGAAGCAATTATACGTGTGGCTACAAGTAATGTGGAGCCAAATATAAAAAAACTTGTTAGTTCAATGCAATGTCATGCATCAAAATAATAAAACATGAAATATTACATTGTAATGATTACATAATTATTACAACAAACATTTTTGAAGGTTCTTTTATTTTTATCATTGTATTTCATACTATTTAAAAATAAAAAATTTTGTGTTAATAAATATTGTTTGTAGTGGCCCGTCCTTGGCTTATATTTTTCCCGAGTGGCCCCTGTTCCCTATAAGTCTGTGCATCCCTGCTATAGACCGTCCACATCCGGTTACATGGATAAGAACGGGAGTCACAAGGGTGGCGGACAACAATCAGGATACGCAAGTAATATGTGGATGCGAGTGGAAGTTTGGATAACACGGTTGGTATCGGGATATGTTGTCCGACAGGAGGATGGAAATTAGGAGTCAAAGTACGGGGTCTTATCAAAGCTCACTTTGTTGAGCAAGTTGCTATACTGATGGGATTGAAGACGACAATGGAGAGGGAGTTAGTTTATGTTAGAATTGTTATGGATAGGATGGAGTAGACATGGATTTTGCAGTCGAAACGAAGAGAGCTAGTAAGAGAAGAGAGGAAGAAGACAGAGTAATGGGATTGACCTAGTACTTTATTAGTACAAAAATGGAATTTAAGAGTGAGATGTTATCGTATATACTGAATAAATGGCGGCGAGAAGGTGAGATTAACACACAGGTTTTGCAAGGAGGTTGGGACACACGATTGACATGACGAAGAAAGCTAGACAGTTAGTTACTAATGGGACATGGGAACTTCGGACAATACATGTCAAAGTTCAATCTTATGAAATAGAGACGAAGACGATACATGTGACTGTGACCGACTGGAGACTGATATACTAGACCGGACTGAGTGCCAGAGAATATATTGGAGTAACTTATGGTAATCTTGATTTGTCAAGAAGACATAATAGGAGGGTAGACTCGCAACAGATCGTTAAGATATGTGAGTGAGCGGAACTTTATGTTCGGGAATAAGAGCGGCGGTAAATTATCTGACACTCGATTAGAGACGTATTATACATATTAATAGTATGATGGAACCGGCATTAGATGCTCAGCTCTCGGGATGGATTAATGGTTAGGTTATCCAAGACAGGACGAATTAGTAGGTAGTATATGATATCACTGTATATTCTACTAGTTGTACTATATGGTGCGGGATAGTTGGGGATTAGAGATTAAGGGTAAATAATTATTAGTTTTTTTTTTATTCAGGATGTAAGTTAGATATAGGATTGGTTTTGTATCAGTACGTGTCGTGTTAATAAAGTCGACTTGATCGGGACCCGCTAATTTTGGATAGGTGGAGGATGGTGGGTTCTCCTAGCAGTGGTTTCTACGGACGGTGAGTCTAGTTAGGGGAAATGATTAAACCGAGAGGTGGGCATCCTGAGAAGCGTGGCTTTCTTCAGCCTCATGTACCCGGCAACGTGGTGCCAGAAACTGCAATAACATTCTCACATACTTAGTAGAGTTCACAGTCACTGTTCGACGACGAGAATCTTAGAAGAAATAGGGCCCAATGATACCTCGAGCTAAAATTGTTGTCCAAACCGTTATCTTAAGAGAATGAAAGGGCCTTTGATGTTTGACTTTAGGATTTTGCCTGTTCCATTATGCTGTTCTGCTGCTGTTCTGTTTATGTTTATTAACGTGTCCGTTAAGGTGAAAGTGGGCTTCGTCGGAAAACAAGATATTAAAGTTACTGAAACGATCCAGAATAACTTCGGCAAACGATTTGCGTAAATTTAAATCATTAGGTTTTAATTTCTGTACTAATTGGAAATTGTATGGATGTAATTTAAAATCGAATTTCAAAATACAGCGTAAGGATGTGCGTGGGATTCCTAATTCAGTCGGACGTTTGGCCGTCGATAAATCTGGATCGCGTTGAACTGAAACGCAATTTAGTGTCGATCCCATCTCTTCAAACTTCTTCACCTATTTCTTAATCAAAACTGAGTTCGGACACTGATTTAAGTCATGTAAATCTGACTCCATGCGAAACAAGCGCCTAACAGTAAATTAAATAATTTTATTTAACGCAAACGGCGACTAAACCGAGCTAGAAATAAGCTAGCGGCTAGTCCTCTTCGCCAACCCCACTCCTCTTGAGTTTGAGTGAGAAATTTGATTTAAAAGTAAACAAATTCATGGTCCACCCTGTATAATTGAATCTTAATCTTAGTTTTCATTGGAATGCACCGTATGTTTATTTACCAATGACTGTAATCTAAATGTTGTCTAATTAAAGTGTGCGGTTGAACTGTTCCATAACCATCTACTTCAGGCATATTCATATCGTCGATAAAGTAGATTAGGGTTTTATTTCCAGGAGGACCATAGTTTCTACCAGCCTTCTTCTCCAACGATTTCTCCAAAATTTTTTGCAACATTTCAGATGTCGTGTAAAAATTAAAGGGAATGTTACAAATGGCGTAGTTCTCAGAAAGAGATGCCAGTTTTTCATTAATTAGGACTGTTTTGCCACACCCCGCTGTACCAACTAGCATTATCGGGGCACGCTTTTTTATTAACAGGTCTAAGAAATATCGAATTCTAATTGATTCTGCCGTATGTACCAGAACAGCCTAGAAACAACAATAAATTAGTATGTCAATTTTATTATTGTGAAAGTCTAATAAATAATTAAGAAAGCCAATACGATTTTGTCAGATAATTTCTGAATGGTGGAAATAAGTTCTACAAATATACATTCATTGTTTTTTTTTGGGTTTTCCTTATTGCATCTTCTATTTATCTATCTTCGTAAATGTAAGTAACAAATATTCATGAAATTGTATTTTAGTCAAATTTATTTAGTTTAGTGTTGTAAATGTGTTGTTTGTAATTGTAAATTTGACATTTTCAATCAGAGAGATAGTGTCATTATCAATCACATTAACTAAGCCGCGAGAAAATCCTTACTTTCATATACATGAGAAGAAAAAGCCTTAGTTCTATTCATTATATTTTTCATTATCGAAGAACGTTACAAATTAAATGATAAACAATTTATATTAAGCAATAGTGCATAAATATTGAACATAAACTATTTATTTTTTACACTATTGTGTATTTAAACCAAGGACATTTAAATAAAGGGGACTTATTTATTTACATTTCTAGATGAAGCCTGGTCTATTCACAGTCTAATTGTATCATTGTTGTCAGCTGTATAATTATAATGGAAATGTACTTAATATTTCTATCGCAATTTTCATCACAATTTTGAAAATTATTATTATAAGTTAGGCATACAATATTGTTAAATTCTGTACATATTAAACTATTTTTCATTTTTCATATTTGCCATGTTTGAAGACTTGGCAACTACGCAATAATTTGTAGCGTGTTCCTCGTTCGTTCTGCAGTGGTTGGCAGAATATGGCGTCTCTTGTTAGAAAATAGTTGTAATTTTAGTAAGTGAAACGTGATTAGTGTTTGTACATGTATTTTGGATAAACTTTTAAGGTGTGAATATGGTTAGACATTGCAGAATTTGTAAGAAATTGGATTATAAACATCCACATCAGCTATCCTTCCACAGGTAAGCGTGCTTGAAGGTGACTTTGGAATGTATATGCAACTGTGGCCATTCGTGCGTGTGGGTAACTTTTATTTGAATAACGGTAAAATTTTATAAAACTGACTTGGTATTTTTTTAAAGTTTTGCTGAAATAGTAAGAAAACAATAATATGAACCACGTTTGGCCATTAAAATCAAAGGAAAATGCTGCACCACAAATAAGTTACAGACATTATTTATATTTAATATATTTATAGGTATTTCAATGTTATCCCTTATACCCAACATTACAAATTTTAATCATTCATCATTTTCATTTTTCTCTAAGACAAAAACCTTTTCAAAAATATATTTACAATTTTACTAAATGCATGAGCATAAAAACTGAATAAATACAACAGCAAAAATATGGTGGTGGTTCACTTATACATAAAAATACCGAAGATGCAATCAACTGAAAGTTGCATTCATTCAACTATTTGATGTTCTCCTTTGGGAATATATTTTTATGTCTCACTGAAAATTTGCCTCAGTATTCTAAAAGTGAAATGTGAACGTTTTTAGGATGCTTGGGGATGGTGCAACAAGAAAGAAATGATTACAGTTATTGGGATTCCAAGAAGTTATAAAAATATTATATATATTTATTATAAAAATACTGAGCAGCTGTTGAAATATATTGTCTTAGGACTATAAAATATTTTATTTTAACCCATCCAAAATGTACGACATTGGAGATGTAATCGCGCGCATCAATTGGATGAAAATAAAGCCCTCTGCTTTCCCCTTGTCTAGCTTCACCCAATATATGAAATAGACTGTGACATGCATAGTCCCCTTTATTTAAATGTCCTTGATTTAAACAGTAGTGAGAAATAGATTTTACGTAGGTCACAAATATACAATACTTGTTTTTTTTTTTGGTTTTTCTTGTATCTCTTATTTAACTAACTTATAGACTGTGAGCTAGCGCACATGGGTGTGGCGTCGTCGAAAAATGTCTGGCATTTTGAGATTTGAAAAAGGTAAGTTAGTAAATGAAAGTAAGGGTGGTTTTAAGGACCGACCCGTGTTCGAAAATTTGGAAAATTAGTTTCCTTTTGCATAAAATAATTAGTTTTTCACTCATCTTAAAGTGTCTGGCAGTTGATGCAAAAATAGACATTAATAAGTACCTAACAATTTTCAAATGCCATATGGTTTTATATAGCCGAAAGGGTGGTTCATATGGGTGAACTTGCAAGAAAAAAATCATCGTTTACTTTTTCTCTGGCAATCGAAACAATGAAAATTTTTGTTATGAAAATAATAAAAATAAATTGCCGGTTTCCAATGTTCGGAGTCGAGTTTCTCTGTAGAAAATTATGTGAAAATTTTTACCATTTTTCAGTGATCACTATTTATCTGGTATCTTGGGTACTTAAAGTTAATACCAATATTTCTTGTCACAAAAAATTTGCCAGACAAATTGGAAAATAGAAAAATTGTGCCAGGCAAAAGAAAATTCGTAAAAAATATATTAAAGTTTAAGTGATTTATTTTTGTCCGGCATTTTGAATTTTAATTAGAAATACGCGTATAAACACAATATACAAATGCCAGACAAGTTGAGATGTTCGAAAATGTATAAATGATTTGAAAAGTTACACAAAAATTAATGAAAACTTGATTTTCTTTTTTTTTTTCTAATTTAAACGATTTATTTTTGTCTGGAATTTTGCATTACTATTGAAAATACATATTTATATTTCAGGTAAAAATGCCAGACTAGTTGGGTCGTTCGAAAATTAAAAAAAAAATTAATTAAATTAAATAGTTATAAAAAAATTAATAAAAACTTCACTGGCAATTCGTTTTTTAATAAAAATTACACTTACAAACTCAAATTAAAAATGCCAGACAAGTGGGGATGTTCGAAAATATATAAATAAATAAAGTTGTAAAAAATACAATTTGTAAAGAAGTGGTTGTCGGGGTTTCAAATAATTACCGAAACATGCTTAATGGCATGATGTTTATTGCATAGTAATACAATAGGTAACAAAAAACACAAGACTACAATAGATAATACGAAAATAATAGTATGAGAGCGCGATATTAACCCATCAGTGTGTCAAGAGCAATTGGCTGTAGGTCAGTTCAAGGATAGAGGCTCGCTCCCTACCACCCGGTTGCTAACCGTTCATGGGATATTCGCTACACACTCCCCCTCTGGACCACAATTAGGTCTCCGAAGTGGTTCAGAATTTCTTCTTAGGTCTGCCATGCTTTCTCTTTGGTACCATAGCGGTCGGATCAGGATCATCTTCCTTACAAATAAATGGGTACATGTCGGAAACGTGGAATTTCCCACTAATCTGTGAAGGCTGCGAAGCATTAATTAAAATGTAGGAATACGGATCAACAACTTCTTTCACGAGATATGGTCCGTCACGTTTGGGTGCAAATTTTGAAGTGAACCCTTTCTGTTAGTTACTGAGAACATGGGTCTTAAGTAGGACTTTATCACCAAATTTGAATTGTAATTCTCTATGTCTTTGATCATATTTCTCTTTTCGCAGGTCCTCCTTCTTCATAAGTGTCTCCTTTGCTTCACAGAGAGAATTTGATAAGTTGCGTACATGTGGAGTTATTCGAGGCACAAAATTCTCAGCCTTGACAACTTTCTTTAGGTCATATTCAGTGTCATGTGGAGCTCGCAGTTCGCGAACAAATGTTAGGTGTATGGCCTGTAGATTCACATATAGTCGAATTTATGGCAAAACGTATACTTGCTTTCAATTCCCGATTTTTCCGTTCAACTGGATTGCTTTCAGCGTGATATAATGGGATAAATGGGATTTAGATGTCGAAACAATATGTGACCTTTTGCATTATGTCACTAATGAATTGAACTCCATTGTCTGATATCATCTTTCTCACGAACGAACGAATTCTACAGATTCTTCGCTTTCGAGTTGATCATTTTTAGTAACTCTTCATCTTCTAATTGTTTCACTCGCACAGTTTCTAAAGTCCAACTGGGCATTTCAACCATAACAAAACTAATCTGGCATTGGGATTCACCTTCGCTACTACAGAATGGCCTTGATAATGTATCTGCCACTACATTCATTTTACTAGGTGTGTGCTTTATTTTCATGTTAAGACCTCGTAAGCGCAATGCCCATCTGACTAATCGGCCTGACGGTGTTTATTTTGCTATACAACCACTTCAATGGTTGGTGATCAGTAGCTATAATGACTTCGGCACCTTCTAAGTATAGTCGAAATTTTTCTGCACTCCAAACCACTCCAAGTGTCTCACGCTCTACTGTAGAGTAGTTCCTTTCAGCATCTGTTAGGAGTCGACTTGCATAGGCAATCGGTCTTTCCCTCCCTCTGGAGTAGAACAGCTCCTAGTGAATAACCACTTGCATCAGTATAAACATTATGGCATTGTCTGGTCTGCTTGGATTAAGATTGGTGCAGTAATCAACCGTTCCTTTAAAGTCTGGAAAGCCTGAAGTTCTTCGGCGTCAAATTTGAATGGGTGATTCTGCCTAAGGAGATTCGAGCAATGTCCGAAAACTGAGACAAATTTCCTGTACCATGAACAGGTTTGAATGAAGCTTTGCACATCTTTAACACAACATGGTGGTTTCATGTCCTTGATTGCGGATATTTTTCCAGGATCAGGCTCGATTCCATTAGGAGTTATCACATGTCCGAGATATTTAACGAAATTTCTAACGAATACGCACTTCTCGCGTCGCGCACGTAACTTGAATAGTCTAAGTCTCTTAAAAACTTCTTGCAAGTCCTCAATGTGTTTTTCAAATGTCTCTGATAGCTCTAGAAAATCGTCCATATAAGTAAATACAGCTCTATCGCTAAAACCCGCACGGAATCTGTCCACTAATCGCGTAAATGTAGCTGGCGAGTTCTTTAAACCGAATGGCATGCGGTTGAAGCGGTATGTTCCAAACGGTGTCACAAAACACGTTTTGTCGCAGTCTTCTTTTGCGATACAAACTTGCCAATACCCAGATTGTAAATCGATAGTTGACATATATGGCGTTCTCTTAGCCGTACATGAAATGTCTTCGAGTCGAGGCATGGGACAACTATCACTTACAGTTATTGCGTTAAGTCATCGATAGTCAACGCACAGCCTGAGGTTTCCATCTTTTTGGGCACTAATACAACAGGACTAGCCCAAGGTGACTCACATTCTTCAATAATTTCTTCATCTAACAACCTGTCCAATTCTTTTCTTAAAAATTCTTTCTTGAAATCACTCAGTGGATATGGAGGTACAGCGATTGGAACGTTATCAGTGGTTTGTATTCGACGTATTTCGAATTCAGTAGCTCCTCCCCCTTGTTTAAAGACGTCTTGATTCTCTTTTAATAACTTGTTTAAAGAGCTTCTTTGATCAAGATCAAGCGTCTCACCTTCATCAGATCGGAGATAATGCTGCTCACTGATTTCGAATACTTGTATATTTGATGGTATATCTAGGTCACGGTCTATTAATAAATGTGAATAACAAATATTCATAAAATTGAGTTCTATTTTTCTAAAAAAATAACTTACCTGAAGAGGTACATCTGGATCTAATTCAAAGCGACCTAAACTCTCTGTCCAAGAAACAAATTGTTTTGTTTCACTGTCTATAAAGTAATCAAATACAGTGCCACCAGTAGGGAACTTTACTGTTTTAAATTCATTAACCCACCATTTTGTAAATTCAACTCGATAATCTGTCGTCTAAAATTAAAGATTTGTTTAATATTTAACGTATTTTTTAACTCTGTGAAATATAAATACAGAACATTAAGAATTAACATTTTTGGACAGTAAAGCGTCATTGAAGACATTTGAAAATTGGAATCTAATCAGATTATAATTAGTTAATTCTGATATGGGTGCCTGACGAATTAAGTAGGTTTCAGTTCCTTATTCAGGGTACTTACAAACTTGGAGAGGATAATCTAAGATTAAATTAATAGACGTATGACAGCTCGATTGGCAGCTTTGTTTCTATTTGTAAGGGTTCTCCATTAATTAATTGTTACTGTATCGATATTATGTTACCTCAAAAACGCGAAGAAACAAGATGGCGAAACGTCATTTGCGGCTACAAATCATTTTTCATATGTATGTCGGAGACGATTCCAGAGCTTTTCAATACGTTTCAACAATTCTGATTATTATTAATTTTAAGCGCTATTTTGCAGTTTAAACAATTTTGATTACTGAAAATGCTTATTATTAATGCATTACACTTACCATTAAAAACCCTCTCCATGTTTGTAGACACTCTTATCTTCCTACTTCCATGAACCTGCACTGGGAATGTCAAAAATAACGTTTAGGGGTCAAATAAGGGATGAGACACTAAAATAACACAGGCCGACAAGATTTGAACCCAACAACACGAATATACTTTCCAAAAGAATTTTGGTGCGTTGAATTCGAATCCGAGGTACAAATTTCTCAATTGGCTCTGGTTTTCGATATCATTTTTCGTCTTTCAGAAATTTCATGTTGAAATTTAGTGGTTTGACTTATTTCTCGATTGTTGAATATACTCACAATGCAGCACCACAAACCTAAATTCGTCGGCACACGGAAATAGGTATCTTACATGGTTTTGAGGTCGCTGATCACGAGCTGATCAAATACTTATGTATTTGAGATTCGTCGGTTTATAGGCTTGTGGGTTTCTGAGTTAAGGACTTACATATTTGTGGGTTTATGAGTTTAGAGTTTATGGGTTTGGGAATTATGGGTTTATGGGCTAAGGTTTTTTGGGATTAGGGTTTATGATTTCGTCGTTGAGCGTATTTGCCTCTTTTGCGTGTAAATGTATTTCCAGATTGATATAATACGTAAAATATCGGCCATATATCAAATTTTTAGACATTTTTAAAAGTTTGTTGCAAAATTTGACTTGATAGAGCATTTTGGAGTTCAGGTTCATAATCAGCAACCCCAAACACGTGTAAGATCCCTATTCGGGTTACCGATGAATTTAGGTTTGTGGTGTTGTGTAAGTATATTCTAAAATCGAGAAGTAAGTAAAACTACTAAATTTCAACATGCGATCTCTCAAATACGAAAAATGATATCGGGATAAATCCAAGTGCATTTTAAAGAGAATATATTACTTTAAGATCCCATTAATGGTTTTAGCAAAAAGTTTACCTATCCATGTAACATAACCTCAAATATATAAAAAAAATCGCGATTTTGTCACTTTTGAGAAATTTGGTCCTCGGATTCGAATTCAGCGCCCCAAAATCCTTCGGAAAAGTACATTCTGGTTTCTGGGTTAGAGAGTGAGCCAAATTTTGTCGGCCTGTATAATTTTCCTAGGCACCAAAACGGAAAAACTTTCATTTTATTCATTAGATATAAATCGGTTAGTGATGAATTTCCTTGCAGAATGGATAACTAAGAATATATTTTGATAAATGTCAAAAAATAATCTAAAATCTTATAATGTAAACATTAGGATAACATTTAATAATTAATTATTAAAGTCTAGTTTGCACAATAATTGTTTGAAACTGGTGTTTGCTGCTGCCCGGATTCGTGACGTCATTTAGTGCGATCGAGAATTGAGACGATGAATGATGGGGACAGGTCGACTCGACAGTATGAGTATGAGCATAGTAAGTCTAGCGTCAACAATCGCCTAGAGGCAGTCAATTTCACTGTACTTCGAGACTCCTAGACTAGGCCGCAGACGGCTGAGGAGTAGGTTGTGTTGTCGGTCGCACTAGATCACGTCACTATGTGTTCTCGATTACGGGACAAAATTTAAATTTTTACATAATTGTAAGCATATCTATTATTAATTTTTAGCATCTTAACCACTGTTAGTTGTTGTCGGTTATATACTACAAATATTATGCAAGTGTACTGGAATGGATGCTAGTTTGAAAATGACAAATTCTATAGAATAAGCCATAAGGTTGCAGCTCTTTCAAACGCATTGTTAGATAACTCTCAAAAAATAACTATAATGGAGCTTACTTGTTCCTGAAACATAGCTGATCCAAATGCCCAAACACAACAAAATACAAAATATAGCTCGTGCCATTCCTTCGGACAATCTGCTGGCGTGTTGCTTGGTGTTAAAAGACAGTCAAGTAAATGGCATAACATGCCCAAGTGGGCAGTTTCAGTTATTGGAGTTATTTTTTTAAATCTAGTTCGGACATTTTCTAAACAGTTGGGGATATACTTATCAAAAAGCATAATAAGATTGGATTTTTCAGCTGGAATTTGTCTTGTCTCAATCCAACTAGTTACATACCTAAAATTATAATGTAAAATAAATTGTTAAATGATAAAGGTACCCTATTTAGTGTCAATGCATTAATTTGATTTGAATTATCATACTGAATTTTTACGATGGTTATCCAAATTCTAGTACCTATCCTTACGACTCGGGAGCTGTCAGAATTATTTGAAGAGGGTCTCACATGTTCAAACATAGAGATATAAAGAGTGATCAAAACAGCCGTTTACCGTAACTAAAGTCTAGCTATAAGTCAAACAATATCATTGTTTCGTTACACTGCATATTAGTTTTTCTCAAATTTAAACATTCTGTGTTGTATATGCTATACAACTGTTCCATGGGATCATTACCTGTCATCTGGGCTACTATAAAATCTGTACCATATAAGTTCCGCCGGTGTTAAACAATCAATACAAAGAAAGCCAGCCATATAACTATTTTGATCGTTGCCGAAATGAAGATGACGAATCTCGTGATCGGTTAATTACAAAAAATAAAACACTGGACTTACATTTACTCCTAAGAATAAACTACAGTTATGTAGTGACATTTAAACCCATTCACAATACAAACCAAAAAAATTAAACATATATTGTTTACCATACCATTTTCTGGGATAAAAAATATTTGGTCAACTGTGATCCCTGGTGAAATATCTAAGATTCCTCTATGCAAGCCATTCAAAATAAATCCAGCACTGCTGACGATATTGTTTTTACACAATGCCCACCCACATATTCCTCTTATTTCAGGTGGGACATTGTGGATCATGCAGCGTAAAGTCCTGATTTAGTACCAACTGATTTTCATTTGCTTAAAAATTTCTAACATTTCCGGGTGGAAAGAGACTGGTACCTACTAATGACCAAACTGCAAACAAATTGTTATGTACAGGCGCGAGAGCTCTTCAAAGCAATGGTTCTGGTTTCAATTTTTTTGGACATAGCATTAACCACATAAAGATTTATGCAATAATTTTTCATGTAACATCATAGGAGACGATTTTTATATACAAACTACTTCCAAGCTTGTACGGCGAGCGGTGGAGGCTGCACTGTGCAGAGTCTTCACAAGCTGGTGACCGGACTGGACTGCTTGCTGGGACGGAACAGAATCCATTCAACAGATGGATATTTCGAATTCCAATTATAGGCTTTTTTCGCGAGTATAGTATGTGTAATATGAATGAATGAAGATATTTAAACTACCATATAATAATTAAGATGAAAAGTGATATAAATAGTAACTACAAGTCAGATATTCACCAATATTCAGTCGCAAAAAATGCCTTATATCTGCTGGACGGGTTCAGCGCTTCAGCGATTTCGCGCTCGCACCCGCCGCGCCGCGCGCCACGTCGAGTTAATGTAGACAGGTTAAAAAATGCAAATGGAGGTATAATATTATATATTTATTTAAATAAAATAGAAAAACAACGCAGGGTGTTTCAGAACCCTGTTTGAAAATCACGTCGTTATAATGCATATTCATAACAAGTTGACATAACTGCAAAACTACGACAAGGTTCTCAATTTCCATTGGATGACACATTGGCTGTAACGAAATAATATTAATCTTAATATTTCGTTTAATTGCGAAGGGTCTAGACCAGGGGTCGGCAAGTAATTTTAGGTGGGGTCCGGATACTTTTAAAAATTTTTAACAAGGTCCAGAAAAAAAATTAATATTTCTTACAAATTTTCATTTGCACTCAAATTTAATCTGCTTACTAACCATTAAGAACTCAAAACGCTCACACAATTGTAAAATACTAGAAAAAATGATAAGGTTGGCACTCAAACGTAAAAAAACATTTTTAAAATAATTTATTTGAGTAATTTATGCTTTCAAAAATTTTTGGCGGTCCAGTATTTTACCTTCGGCAGTCCGGACCTGGACCGCGGTCCGCCAGTTGCCGACCCTTGGTCTAGACTCTAGAGGGTAAAAAATGTGAATTATTTAAGAGTTATATTAGTAGCGACTACGGCATATCTTTGATATGATTGAAAGGCAATTAGATCGGCCTAATAACAAGCAGGACATGGGTCATATTCTTCTTGAAATACGGAATGAACCGAAACAGAGGTGAAAATACTTGAAATTGTGGTTAATTGAAAGTATTGATTATTCCTATAGAGAAAATTTGCAACTTTGCAAATTTCAAATTTGTCTTTTATTAAATGTTAATAATGATTATATTGTTACAAAGTTTTTTTATGAAGTTAACATTATAAACAATAATTATATTATAAAATTAAATATTATCTTAGTGGTGCGTTAGTATTTGGAAAAATATTTATACACAGTGTTTCATTTTTCATGGACTCATATCTCTGTAAGTTAAAATTGAAATGTTTCTTTTTATAACAAAGTAAGTAGGTACCTTAAAAGTACTCATGCTAAAACAACTAAACTTGGTTTTACCCATAGTCATCCGGCTCTAAAACTTGTGTATTTAAAAAAGTCTATTTTTTTTCTATATTTTAATTTTTCTGTCCCGGAAACCTCTCTACTTTTGAATGAAGTGTCATAAAAGTTCAAGATATTACCCAAAACTTAAGTTTTTTTACTGTTTACTACCATTAAAAAATGTTAAAGAAAAGCTACTCTTTTTACTTTTTGTTTTTCATTAAACATAAGATCAGCAAAAAAAATTTTTATGCAGCTGATGAAGACAAATTTGCTTTCAAAGTATGTACCTTTAATATTTTCACATTTAACATGACAATTCACGAACAAAATTATGAATCAGCGTTAAATATTTTCATTCCAATTAAGCCACTTTTTTGTCTATGCGTTTACTACCATTTTCTAAATTCTCTCGCTTTATAAATTCGCCCGTTATTTAATGTAATATTATATTGTTTTTTTGTTCCAAGGATATTTTTGTTTTTCGCTGGCCAGATAAAAATTTTCACGAGGATCTGATAGCCTAATAAAGAATAAACAGTAAAAGAAAGAGCATTTCCAACTTTAATAGTTAAGTCAACGAAACATTAATGTAAAATTATAGGAATTCTAGTAAATATACCTTGAGAACTCTTAATGATATTTTTTTCAAAGTTGATAGACAGAGGTTTGTTGAAATACTAAGTGGAATATAGTTTTTTGGTAAAAAATCGTCAATATAGTTTTTTGATACAATCGACCTTTTTTGCATTTTGGAACAGGATATCTGTAACTTAAATCAAACGCAGTTGTATTAGAAAATTCGAGGGCTATATTTTTCATTTGAGAACACATTAATATATACGAGGTACATTAAAAGGTGTAGAAAATGTCTGTTTTTAGTAAATGACTAATATTATTAGTATTATTAGTAAATGACTATAGGTATAATTTCCACAATTTCTAAAAAATATAAATTATGTGAAGATGGGGATTTTCATAGGATTGTTGGATAATTTAATACTGCCGACAGCTGGTGTCATTCCATCAATTCTGTCTTGTTGAGAAACGACACACTTCGTATTTACTAAGCACGGAAAAGAATTATGGGTAAGGTAATAGACACGTTTTATATTGGAAGAACTATGCAGTAGAAGACATTTTAGCTCTTTACGACATTCGTCTCATATTTTTCGTTTATTGTTTATTGTTGCAAATATTCTGAAAAAAGTAGGTGATGAGACGCCACTATTGTAAAAAATCGGTCTGTTGTATGTAATGTACGTGCTCTGCAGTTTTATTCGTCCATTCGTTTATATCCGGATAATTTATTAAATTTAATGTATTTAAAAATTGATTGAAATACTAATTACTTATATACATATTTTACTTATAATATTATCCATGGAATTCAGTAGAGTGAACTTTTTCTGTTTAATTTATATTTTCTTTTTTAATTTAATTTATTTCAGTAACATTTTCTGAAAGATTTGTCGATGACTATAAATATTTTAAACTTTTAATAAATAATTAAACGATTTTGGGTAGCATCATATTCATTCTAAATTCATTTAAGTCTCACTCTTTAATTCCAAGGGAAGTAAGTGTATATTACAAGGTTGCACCAATATCTATCTGTTATTTCCAGTAACCCTTGTATTTGAAAATAATAGTCGTTATTCATCCTTAGCGTACTATCAAAAGAAAAAAAAATCTGGTTTGATCTTGTCGCAATCACTATTTTTATATTTATACGGACATTTGATCTCAATTAATTCATCTCCATTTATCAAACCGTCCTGTGATCCAGCCAAAAATTCGTAGTTTTTGTGGATATGTAATCCTGTTAATTGGCAAATTTTATTTTTTTCGAACAGTATAACTCTAGCAAAATTTTCGTATAGCCCATGTTTTATTGCTACATATGCTTCCTATCAAACCTCGAGCATTTCATGTTCCTTTGCCCTTCCATTATGTATTGTTTTAATTTTCCAAAGTAGTTTTCGACTAGAGCATTACTCACTCTTCCTCATTCTCCTCAGTTTGTTAACATTATACAGCTCCATAACGGACAATAGGGTAAATATTCCTTTACATCATTTCTTCATTAAAAAATGAATTATATTGTTGTTCCTGCTATATACGATAATGTTCTTATACAATTCTGAATATTTTTGATATAATGAGTTCAGCATATAATTCTTTCGTATCTTTCTATTGCATTCGCTGGTCTCAAAGTGAATTTTGAATATTTGTATCATAAAACAACGTATCCACCGTTATAAAATTTTATTAACGATTTTTTAACGTTTTCATAGTAGGAATTGCTTTTTGATATTATAATAGCTAAGTGCGTGAACTACATGTCAAATTGCTGCAAATTTTTTAAATTTATAACAGCCGCGAATATATATTTAAAAATTGCGTTTTATGTCTGGTTGGTAGACAACTGGTCAACGTCTTTGCTAATAATTTTCATAAAATGAGCACAACAAAGACGGATGACGGATAACAATAATATAACACCTGCCCTATGCCCCTTGTAGAAATATAAATTTCATACATTATTGTTGTTGGATTCTTGATTCACTTCTTGAAATTGCTTGTGGACTGTATTTCTGGTT